ATGCTCTTGGTAAATTTCTTCAAATTAATAACAGAAGAATAAAATACAAAATCTTTTTTCTAATTCAGGACCCTATTTCCAGCCCTGGTCATGTGTTGACACTCAAATACATATAATCAACTTTTCCTTTCCTTGACTATATAATACTTCTTTTTACCTTGAAAAGGAAACTAAGTTGATTATAAGGTTCAGATATTTCACCACTGAATATTGCATATGGTATTGAATTGTATATTTTCATTGTAGTTAAGGTCCAGCCAGGCTTATCAACTGAGAAATATATTTACTATTAATAAATATTTATCATTCTTTTTTTTTTATTACTTTCAAAATTTTCCAATCACGTGTAATTATTATTTTAATGTCGCAGATTAGAAAATAACTTTACTGGTAATTATTTTACTAACAATTTTAATAAGAGCTATATACCATATAAATAAGTAAAGGAGAAATAATTGTGATTGATAAAATCTAAACACAAAACTCTGGTGACCAATTTTATGTTATAATTTTCTCACTACTGTCAGACGCGTACATTTTTAAAATAATCATGGAACCAAATAATTCACGAGAGCCAAATATTCAAAAACTCTTTCAAAGTTTACTCAATTCAAAGGAATGTCAAATTTGGACAAAACAAGAAATCTTAAATATTTGCAATTACTCTGTAATTATAATAAATTCCAATTACGATTATTTTTTATTGGCTTAATAATATATAGATAACAGTTAATTAAACATTTTTTTTATTTTTTAGGATGAAAAAAATTTTAAATTACAAACATACCTAGATCAGTTGGTTAAAGATGGTTTGATTTATTCAATGACAACTTTTACTGATAATAAAAGTTCTGAAATTTCAATATATTGGATAAAAAATCAACTTCTAAATAAAACACTTTTGTCCAATCAAAAGGATCAAACTGTAGTTAAACATTTTCATATATTTATATATACTTAATTTTTAGTTGACATAATACTATAATAATTTTTAATTAGCTCAATCATTTTCCAGACGAAACTGCAATGTTAATATCTTTGCATTCTTTTGATGAAACGAAATATAAAAAATCATGGAATGATTTTATTGACAATGTTCAAAAAATCAATCTGGTAATAGATGATATGGCAAATCTTACTAATTCATCATCATATAACACAAGTTATTATATAGAAAATACAAATAATGAAAAGTTGATAGAATCATT